GGCATGTCCCGTTCTACCAAAACTACAAGAACAAAGTGAGAAACGCTTTGTTAAAGGACCTGCTTCATTGGAAGTAACGAGAGTAATACAAATTTAGGAAGGCTTCTAACAGATATGGAGAAACCTCTAGTGACCTGGACCAAAGACCAGCACAGAAGTGTATCCCTCCCAGTACCATGACATCAAGGCCAAAGCAAAAACTATATACTCTTACACACACACACACACACACACACACACACAGTTTTCCCCTAGATAGGCTTCAAAGCAAAACGCAACACTATGCTATGTGTATAAGACACCTAAAACAAAGATATTCACGGAGATTAAAAATTTCAAATGGCCAAAGGTATATCAGACCAATGCAAATGAAAAAAAAAAAAGGTTACAATCTTGATTCTTTATACACACACACAAAAAAATAAAAGAACACTTAGTCCATACTCACAATGAAGATATAATAATCATTCACATCGATGCATGCAATAACACAACTTTCTAACTTTAAAACAAGAAAAAGTAGGCCTAAATACATTGAAATGTGAGCCTCAAACACACTTCCTCAGCCCAAGATAGAGCAAATAGATTTTTTTAAAAATTAAGACTACAGAAGACCTGAACAACATAAACAGAATACAGATAACTCCAAATGTTCATGAAACACTAGTCCCCCATAAATGACAACTGATGTCAAAAGGAAACTTCAGTACATTCTAGAAAATAAAAAATACAATAGAATTCTCTGAACATTATACAACAAAATCATTAATTAAAATCAAGATTATTGCAGGATCAGCAGATGGCATAATGGTTATGTTGCTGGACTCCCATGCAGTCGACCACTGTTCAAGTCCTGGACCTTGCAACTTAAAACACGCCAGATGCATGTACGTGTATGCCCAAACTCCCAAGAGGAGAATGAAAGAGAAGAGATTGTGGCATGGCCATTCCCTCTGGGGGGTGATTTCTCACTTTCTGTCTTGCTGTCTCTATCTTATTATGCTATGCTTTTTCTGATAACCAAGCCTGGTAAGTAACAGGTGAGTAGCAGATATGATGTGAGTAAGGTGAGCAAAGGGATGACTAATGGGATGGGGCTGGATGGGCCAGATTTCACCACACTAATCAACAACTGTAAACAAATAAATTGTTTATTTTAGAATTTCCCATGTAGTTTTTCAGACCACAGTTGGATCATAGTAATTAAAACTTGCAACATGAAACCATGGATTAGGGGGTTGGAAGGGTCTACTGTGTAGAAAAGAGAATTTTGTTTGGGCTTATAATCAACATCATCATTTATAAAAATGTAAAGGATTAACTGATTTCACATACCAATAACACAGCACTGTAACTAATTAAAAAACGATTCAACTGGGGCCAGCAAGTGATGTGGTTAAGGCACTAGACTCCCACATGGTTGACCACAGTTCCAGTCCCAGACCCAGTGACCTAAAAATCAAACCAGGAGCAGGGGCAGCAGGTGGCATGGTGGTTAAGGCGCTGGACACCCATATGGCCAAAAGCCCCAGACCTGGTAGTGCGGCATGACTATGCCCCTGGGGAGGTGGGGGAAGGAGTTCTCACTTTCCGTTTGCCTTTCTCTAGCGAGCACAAGCACTCTATGGCGAAAACCTTAAAAAAAAAAATCTAACTAATGATCCTATCTGGAAATGAAAGATGCTTAAATATTCAAAGACCTACTATTCTCACCAACGAGAAGTAAAATAATAAGTACGAATAAACATGTTTCTTTCATCTAATGTTCTGTTTTGTTTTTAAGGGAGATTTTTGCCTTAGGGCATGTGTGCTCACTGGAGAGACAGAGACAGAGACACAGAAAGTGAGAAATCACTCCCTGAGGGTATGACCATGCCACAATCCCTTCTCTTCCATTCTCCTCTCAGGGAGTTTGGGCATGCATGCACATGTGCCTGGCATTGAGTTTTAAGTCACTGGGTCCAGGACTTGAACCATGGTCAACTACGGTTTTCCCAACTACAGTGGGAATCCAGCAATGGAACTATTATGCCATCTGCTGGTCCCTCATCTAATATATTATCCTTGCCTCTTTAATCCCATTCCAAGATCTTTGGAGGAGAAAAGAAACTTAACAGAAACCTCCTTAAACAAAAACAAAAACAAACAAAAGCAAAAGGTTTTGTTATTCCTTGCCTTTTTTTGCCTAAAGTTTATTTACTTATTTCTTCTATGAGAGCTACTGAAACAGGCACCCCAATATGATCTTCACACAGCCATCCAGGTTCACAGGTACACAAACGTGCACACGGAGGGTAAAGAGAAGCCTTGGGATATGAACCTCAAACCTCCCCAGGTGGGTGCATCACTAGGTGGCCCCAACAAAAAGCAATTTTAAAGATGGTAGTAGACTCTACAAATTTGAATTTTTTCAGGAAAAAATATTGTTAATGCATTTAAGTCATATTACACAAAAAGCCCCATTAAAATACGAAACTTTTTCCTCAGGGAGAACAAAAATAAAATACTGAAGAAATTCAATCTGTAAGACCTCTTTCTCATCTAAGTTTTCAGAAAACACCTTGTAGAACTTAAAATTTCTAGCTGCTTAAAAACTTTCAAAAGCATCACAATTAAAAACTTCAAGACCTATAATTTAAAAAAATAAATATCAGTAATTATCTTGGTAACAATGCAAACCATCTCTCATGCCTGACCTCTTCTATTTTGTCATTCTTTTTTAAATTTGAGAGGTAGCATTTTTCTTCCCCCTCAGAGAATGTCCCATAAATCATGGGTTCTGTCTCCTATATCCAGACCAACTTGAACTTTACTCATGTCTCACCTCTAAAGTAAGCTGAACCCAATAAACCAGATAAGCAGGAACTGATTTTAATAGCAGCGTTTAAAAAAAAAAAAGTATACTACAATATTATAAGATTATAAGATACTACAATACTACAAGATTAGTGTTTAAAAAAAAACTAAACATTCATAACTTATTTGAGGGGGGGGACTAGCAGTTAGCATCACTGCTATGTCGCTGGACTCCCACGTAGTCAACCGTGGTTTGAGTCCCAGACCCGGTGGCTTAAACTCACGCTGGGCGCGTGTGCGCAAGATCCCGAGAGGAGAGTGGAGGAGAAGAGATCGTGGCCATCCCCTCTGGGGGGTGATGTCTCGCTTTCTATCTCTCTGTCTCTCTCTGTCTGGCGAGCGCACGCTTCCTATAGCAAAAACTTCTCCAAAAAAAAAAAAAAAGACCTTATTTGAGGGGCATTTAAAAAAAAGTTTTAAAATTTGGATCCAGGCTGGGACTAGCAGTTAGCGTAATGTCTATGTTGCTGGACTCGCATATTAGTAATTGACCAAGGTTCGAGTCCTGGACCTGGTGGCTTAAACTCAGCACCTGTGCGTGCGTGCCCAAGATCCGGAGAGGAGAATCAAGGAAAAGGGATTGTGGTGTGGCCATCACCCCAGGGGTGATTTCTCACTCTCTTTTCTCTCTGTATTTCTGGCAAGCACATGTGCCCTATAGCAAAGACCTCTCTAAAAAAATTAAAAAAAAAAAAAAAAAAAAAAAAAATAAAAAAAAAAAAAAAAAAAAAGAATTTGGATCTTTGCTTTCAACTTCATTCTAATCAAATGGCTAAAATTATTAAAAAATAAACTGCGTTATTACATTGGACCAAACCTAGCAAGGCATAAAGACTATTAAGTACAAATTGGTTTTCCAAGAGTTTTTCCCTCTTCATAATTTTCTATCAGGCTTCTGATTTCCATTATCATACCATTGGAAATGCTTCTACAAACTTAGTAGTAGAATATGATTTCTTTCAGAAATCTACTTCCAGGCTTCCATCCCCTCCCTTTCTTACCCCCCCTTAAGTACTCAATTTCTTTCCCAAAGTAGATCTTCCATAAATATTACAATATTAAGGACTAAATTTTAATGAATACAAATCAGAGAAAATGAAGGAACATTAACTCTCATTCAAATCTTCCCTTTAAAAAAGCCTGTTTCCGAGTTATATTTTTAACGTCCCCATGATCCTCTTTTAAAAAGATGAACACAAAATCTCTCTGCTAATAACTTTATTCATGAATTCATAATGGAACTCAAGATAGCAAAGAACATGAAAAAATTTCAGGTTAATATATATCAGCCAAATACATTAGAGAATTATCTATTTTTCATAGAACAAAAATGCCTAAAATGTACATATGAAAATATATTCTCCCATTCATGAAACTTCAAGGTAATAAAGAATTGCTTAATACAGTTTGCCAGAAAGGTTTTTTTACACAGTTAAATACATAGTTAAAAAGATACCAAATGTTGAACTAGCCCCATGGTGCAGAGGTTAATGCTATGCAGAGGAAGCTGGATCTCACATGGCCAACTCGGGTTTGAATTCCTGTCCCGGTGGCAACATGCCAGATGCATGTAACCTGTAAGTTCAGGATCCTGACAGGCTGGGGAATAGGAGAAAGGATCATTGTGTTCACCAGGCCCCACTGGGAGGTGCGAGGCATGTGTGTCTCCCTCTCATGCTCGCAGGCACATTCTATCATGAATAAAAGGGGGAGAAAGACCCCAAGTCCCAGTAGAAATCAAATATAACTGCTAAAATAATAACCTCAGTTAATCTTTTAATAAAGTACCATTTTTATACTGAAAAAAATTAGAAGAGTACAAATTCTTAAATGCCAAACCATTATCTGAAAGTGTTAGAATTTTTCTTTAGTATTCAGTACATTCCTCACATTCACATGTTCCCAACATGGGACTATAATACAATTTTAAAATTTTAGAAAATTTTTTCATTCAGAGTATTTTATGGAAGCTAAAAATTATCACACCTTTCCTTTTTTTTTTTTTTTTGGAGAGGTTTTTGCTATAGGGTGCATGCACTTGCCAGAGAGACAGACAGAGAGAAACAGTGAGACAGAAAGCAAGAAATCACCCTGGAGGGGGAATGGACATGCCTCAATACCTTCTCCTCCATTCTCCTCTCGGGATCTTGGGCACGCACGCACACGTGCCTGGCATGAGTTTAAGCCACCAGGTCCGGGGCTAGAACCATAGTCAACCACATGGGAGTCCAGCAAAATAGCCATTATGCCAACTGCTGGTCCCCCACACCATCCCTAAATGCTTCTCATGATAGAAAAGTGTATTAGACACAAAAATTTTTCACTGTTTTAAACATGATCTTTGGTTTGAAGCTGTCCTATTATCTTTTTTAGTTCAATGGTTGTGGTTAGTAAAATATTCATAAGACAGCACACTAGTTTCATGGACCATGAAAGAAAATTAGGTCACTGGCCTAAAGGCAATGAATGGCGCTTACCAAGAATCTGGCAAGATGAGTTTCCTGAAATCTCTAAGTTATTTAAATATGTTACATGTCAAAGGAGACCAGTATTGCCAGGGAGTCGGTCCTTCTCCTTTCTTTAATGACCTGTATCAATTCATTAACAACACTGGCCAAGGAAAGGAAATTAGTTGGAGGGGAGGGGGGTCAATCTAAATGAAGACACACAGGTGCAAATCTAAAGTAGATAAATAAAACAAACTAAACTGCATGTGAAAAAATGGGTATGTCCACTCCAAGGACATAAACACATCTCATGTCTGAGGTTAATATTAACAGCATATAGATTCTACCACATGGAAGAACTCTATGCCGATGGGTGCATATATCCTAGAGATCAGAACTAGCTGATAGTTTTTCAGAATTAGTGAGACTTTGAATGAATGCAGAAGTTGGTCTTTCGCCAAACTCAAATATTTTAAATTAATAAAACATAAGGATGCATTAACATGGAAAACTGTAAGTCATAAAGTCGAATCTTAGAAAGGATATGTTCAATTTCAAAAGTTAAGGCTATTGATGATTTCTTCTTTCTCTCCTTGAATAATCAAATGCAAATGCCTTTTAGCAATGGCAGCATTCAGATCCCACAAAAAATCAAGCAGTGCACCCTTAAGGAGCAGCTCCATTGGTAAGAACTGCAAGATCTGCTGTGGTGCATCAGAGTTAAGCAGAGTGCTCAACACTGCATTCACATTCTGCAGATACTGGAAAACTGGATTTGGAAGGTCCTGATAACCAACACAGAGCAGGACGGCACAGGTTCTCAGGGGCTCAGAGGATGTGGGACAAGAAAATGTGATGTATCTAAAACAACTGTGGAGTACAAAGATCAAACCAGCCATAAATCTGGTGAAACAAGAAAGTACGGGCAAAATCATAACATCTCCTGTATGAAGCTGCTGCAATGACTGCAGAAGGCAGTTTAAAAATAACTGCTGGTAGGCTGGGTCTCCATCATGAAGCAAGGAACTGCTAAAAGTCAGGAGTTCAGCTGACTCGAGGAGCTGAACTTCCAATGGTATACACGTTTTCCTATCATGAAGAGTTGGCAAACCCATAAGCAGGCACTTTATTTGGTTGCTGGGTTCTACAACTTGCTCATCCTGAAGGCACTTGGTAAGGCCAAACAACTCAGAAAATATCAGCTCTTCAGAAAAAACGTGACAGGAACAATAATGTTGCTGTTTTGGCCTAAACTTGGAATCCAAATTCAAAGCTCCTCCTAATGACTTTTCAATTGCTTCATTAAGAGTCTTTAAAATTTCACCATCGCAGAAAGAGGAACACTTTACCTTTGGCAGTTTATTTCCCTCTAAAATATGCCATGAGTGACACTCAAGATTGGAAGATGTCCCTTCTAAAAGAGAACTTTGCCCAGCATGATACACAGCATGTTCTTCTGCCCAACTATTGAAGTACCCTTTGGCCACTTTATCTTTCCATGAAAGGGACTCCAGTATCTTCCTTTCATTATAGGTTTTAAAATATTTTTTCCTCTGCCCAAACCATTTTGTATTTGTACTACAACCAGTATTAGATTTTTTTACTAGCCAATTATTTCCGGAAAGAGGTTTCAATTGAAATTTTTGCATGAAATATTGTACCGCACAATCCCTTAAGTTATTTAGCTTTGCTTGCTCCCCATTTTCCATGAATTCAAACAGACGAATGTTCTCAGAAATAGTCTCTAGCTGGTATTTATGGAAAAATGCACAACATTCTTCATGTCTTTTCAGAAAAGATTCTGGAATCACATGATGGGGAAAGAGGGCTTTTGTGGTCATTTCAGTCCCGAAGTTCAGCACCATCTTAGATAAATGAGGTTGAATGGCCTCTCTTCCCTTATAGCAGAGACATACCACATACACTTCCGAATTTCCTGCTTTGCTAGTAGCGGGTTTGAAAACATGGACTTGGTCAAAGGAACAGTTTAGCAGGTACATCAGGTTTATGGAGCAGTGTTCAAAGAGAGTAAACATCTTCAGGACAAAAGAGCCACCGTTTCCAAGAGTGGTTAGAGCAGTGACAACTTCACAGTAATGCAAAGAAGAGACTAAAGCTTCTTGTTCACCTGGGTTTCCTTGGCAATCAAAACTTCCATCTGCAGTGATCAAGTGAACGGTAGCCATGCAACTCAGGAAATTCTGAAGTCCAGTCAGGTATTTCAAGGTCATGATATCACCAGTGTTATCTGGACCAAAGTACCACCAATCCAAGGTATTTGCAATAAGCCGGTCATCCATAATCATCATAAGATTATCATTTGCTTCATGATACGGATTCAGGGTATTAGCTACCCAGCTCCAATCACAGGGGAACTGATGGGATTTTAAGTAGTGGTTGAGACTAGCTATAAAAGCTCCAGGAGCTTCGCAAAGGTGCAGAGAATTCAGTTTTCCATTCTGAAAAGCTTCCTGTGGAATAAGTGGAAAGCTGCACAAAATCTCATGGAACTTACACCATGCCTGAGTACAAAGTTCAGCATTCACAGATTTTCTCACATGAGAAATTATTTTTCCTGCTTTATTAGTGAAAGCAGTGTGCTCATGCCACTCATCCAGTTTCTTATCACTCAGTAGGTTTTTTACTTCATTTAGGGAGTTCTTCAAATCAAGAAATGCATTAAATTCTGTGTGTTCACAGGTGAAAATCTTACTAGGATCTGGTAATTGCCATTCGTTATTAAGTGGCTTGCCATAAGAAAAGTTCTTGGCAAAGAGTTCATGAATGTCAGCAAGAACATCTGGGCTGAATGTCTCAGGGCTTGCTATCTGCTGAACTGGAGGTTTTCTGCACTTACTCATTTTCAAATCAAATAACAATCTAGGAAGAGAAAACAATGAAATGAGTTAAATTTATTAGTAAATGAAATCTCATCAGCAGCAAAACTGATCACACTCGTGACAAACTCCATAAAATGGGAAAGCTAACGTCAGCACACTGTTACATAATGGGACAATTGGAAAAAGAAAGAGTGAAGGCTTTGGAAGCTGAAAGACCTGAGTTCATATTCCACCTTTCCTACTTATAGCTTAATTAAGTGGTCTTGGGGGCCAGCTAAGGCTGCTGGATCCCACACGGTCAACCACATGGTTTTCTCTTTCTCTCCAAGCCCAGGTGCCCTGTAACAAAAAAAATTTAAAATAATAATAAGTGGCCTTGGGCAAATTACTTTAACTCTCTGGGATTCAGTTTCTTCTTCTTCTTTTTTTGTTTTTTTTTGGGGGGGGAGAGTATTTTGCTATAGGGTGCGTGTGCTTGCCAGAAAGACAGAGAGAGACAGACAGAAAGCGAGAAATCACCCCCCAGGAGGGATGGCCATGCCACAATCCCTTCTCTTCCATCTTCCTCTCAGGATCTTGGGCACACACACATGCGCGCACCTGGTGTGAGTTTAAGCCACCGGGTCCGGGACTCGAACAGCAGTCAATTACATGGGAATCCAGCGACATAGCCATTGTCAACTGCTGGTCCCTTAGTTTCTTCTTATAAAAAAAGAAGAGGATAAAATACACTACAATAAAAAAAAAACAAACAAACAAACAAACAAAAAAACACCAGGGGGCTGGTAGGTGTGGTGGTTAAAGGTGCTAGATGACTGAGGTCACAGTCCCGGACCTGACAGCTTGCTTTCTCACTTTCCCTTTCTCTCTGTCTTTCTCTGGTCAAATTAAAATAATAATAATAAAGTTGAATAAAATAATTATTCAAAATATATGTATATATATGCCAGGGGCCAGCAGGTGGCATGATGGTTAAGGCACTAGACTCCCACATGGTTGACCATGGTTCGAGTTCCAGACCTGGCAGTTTGAAATTCACATCACGCATGTGTGTGCATCCCCAAAAATCCCAGGAGGAGAATGGAGATGAGATTACAGTATGGCCATCTCCACTGGGGGTGATTTCTCACTTTCCCTCTGTCTCTTTCTCTCTCTCGCTGATTCTCTGATGAGCACACATAACACATGACAAAACCTGAAAAAAAAAAAAAAAAAAAGACTAGGGACCAGCAGTTAGCATGATGGCCATGTCGCTGGACTCCCACATAGTTGACTGCGGTTCACATCCTGGACCCGGTGGCTTAAACTCACGCCGGGCGCGTGTGCGTGCGTGCCCATGATCCCGAGAGGAGAATGGAGGAGAAGGGACTGTGGCATGGCCATCTCCCCTGGGGGGTGATTTCTCGCTTTCTGTCTGTCTGGTGAGCGCATGCGCCCTATAGCAAAAAAAGAAATAAAAAACCCTCTCCAAAAAAAAGACTATTCATCAGTGACAGCTCTTATTATCACAGAAACCTATCTAGCTACTCCCCAAAGCTGTCCTCTACACACCGCCACTGGCACCATCCACATGCCCTCAAACAAACACACACTTAGAGATTCATCCCTGTACATGACCTTTGATCAAGTTGTAACAAGAGACTTTTAGCTTTCGGTTTCCTTCATGCCTCACCTCTTTCTGAGAAAAGGATCCTGTACTTACACCCAGTACAACAACCACTTACTAAGATGACTAAACACAGCCTCAGTCCAGATTTCACTTTGCACTTCCAGAATATTAATGCTCATCCTCACACTGCTTATAAACTGGGTTGTACTTACATGGTTCACCTCTTTCTGCTTGAACTGAAACTGACCAACAGAGTATTCTGGTTTGTCTCTAAACTACAGATTTCTGCCTTTCCAATGGTTGGTCAGACAGCTCCACACTTCTACTATAAAATACCATTATTTTATCTTGCCACTAAAACCACACTTGGATGGCAGAATGTCTAAAAAAGAAATGACAAATTATATATAGTCACTTTACATTCTGTGTTCTAACACTCCCTAAGAAACCAAAAACATCTGTCTCCTGGAGAGGGAAAAAGCTCTAAGAGAAAAAAGCATGGCTTGGGCCAGCTGGTGGCATGGTGGGTGGCTGGATTCCACACAGCTGACTGTGCAAATTGAGTCCTAAACCCCGTGACTTGAAAAAACAACACAACAGGTTTAAAAAAAACACATTGTGTGAATGTGTGTGCGTGCCCAAAATTCTGAAAGGCGACATGGAAACGAGACTGCAGCATGGCCATCCCCCATTGGGGATGCTTTCTTGCTTCCCTCTCTCCCCTCAGCAAGCACACACACCCTCTAGCAAAATTTCTATGAGTGTGTATATACACACGCACACATACATGTAAGTAAAAGAAATAAAAGTGGCTTAACGGCATAGTCTTATCAAAGTTCTACATTCCAGTAGAGAGCGCAGTGAGTATTATGTGGTCCCGATCAGTGCAATGTTAATCAATGAGTGTTATAGTTCATTAATTCTGCACTTATTTAGAATATACAGTATGTTCTACCACCAGTTTAAAAACAAAACCCTAGACTTGTTAAATGTGAAAAATTAGACAACTAATTCAGGATCCCACAACATGCAGATGTTTGAAGACAACATGGAAAATATAGGTGAGCTACTGTTAAATACAGTAAATAGATGACCTCATTGCATTAGCATTTACTTTGTATTGTTCATTTAACACACTTTTTTCATCCTTTTTAATGTTATGTTCAAATTGTTTACAAGTCCACCTGTTTGTAAGCACCTTGAAGTAACAGGTAACTTCTCAGTCATTTCTGTTTGCCATCGTGTTATTTACAAATTACATGTAAATAAATGCAAATCAAAATCACCTCGGGACATCTTTTTCTTACTTTACATCAATTTTTTTTTTAGAGGTTTTTGCTATAGGGCACATGCACTCGCCAGAGAGACAGAAAGCGAGAAATCACCCTCTGGGGGGATGGCCACACCGCAATCCCTTCTCCTCCATTTTCCTCTGGGGATCTTGGGCACACGCACCTGGCATGAGTTTAAGCCACCAGGTCCTGGACTCGAACCACGGTCGACTACATCGGAGTCCAGCAACATAGCCATTACACCAACTGCTGGTCCCCTTACATCAATTAAAAAAAAAAAAAAAAAAAAACATGATAGCATCTCTATTTAGATAGATTTCTAAAGAAAGGCAAAGGCATTCTCGAATTAACTCTAACCCAAAATAAGGACAAATAAAAGTTTATTACAACAAGCTCCTCTATCTTAATTCACACCTGGCTTACCAAAAACTACAATCATGTTTAGATCTCAACTAGATTCTATTTTGGAAAAAGTCTGATTTTAGTCATTAACTTCACTTACTACTCAATGGCTGTGGTTAAGCTGTGAAATCCTACCTAAACTAATAGGTAGTTACCCTGGCCTGAGACACTCCACTGCCGGCTCCTGACTGCGGTGTTACCTAAGTTTTATTACTGCCTTTACGCACTCTGCTTGGTCACACAGGCCTTCCAAGCCAGTTCAAGAAAGACAGCAGGCACTTTACAAGCTCAAAGCTTTTCCACGTGTGGGTCCCTGTGCCTGGAATACTCTACCCCCAGATATCAGAACAGTCAATTCCTCCACCTCTTTTCCAGTACTTGTGCAAATGCAATCCTCTCTATGAAACCTACCCTGACGTGCTTATTTAAACTGCATCTTGCATTCCCAATGCACCTTACTTCGCTGTACTTTTTGCCCATGGCACTCATTTCCTCCTCACATATACTAATTGTTTGTCTTCCCCAAACTACAGTGTAAGCCCCACAGAGGAGGGATCTTTACTATGTTTACTCATGTGTCGGCCCAAGAGTTAAAAGTGCTTAGTATACAAGAAGCAATGAGTATTAAATATGGAATAGATACCATACTTGGTACAACAGGCACTTCTCTAATGGAGTTCTGGACAGGGGTCAGAACACATTTCGACTTCACTCCAGAACTTCAATACATGGGGGGGAAAAAGGCAGAAAAATTTCCCAGTCTGTGATCCTCTGTCTCTTTCATTAAGCACACCACAGAGCTTTGTGGCATCATAATTTGGCCAGCTGGGTCAGTTTTACCATTCTTACATTGCAAACTCGAGTAGGAAGTTCTGTAGACCCCTGCCCAGAGCCACAAAATTCGTGAAATCACTTGCAAAATCCGTGAGCCTAACAAAGCCCTAAAGATCTCAACAGTTGTAACCTTTCCAGTGAACACTTACAAAGGAGTTTTAGGAGTGCTTCCGCTAACTTCCCCTCCCCGCAACCGGACCACAACATCGTGTATCCAAGCGCTTACTTTGGGCCGAGGTACCCACCTCTCATTTCTTCTAGGGGAAGAGAGCTCGAGCCCCCGGGGGGCGGAAAGGCCCTGACTTGGAGGAAACAGCCCCAGCCAGTCTCACTGGCAAATCGAAGGCGGACCCGGGCTGGTACCTGGACCCGGATTACCTTCGCTCACGCCCACCTGGGCCCCCACGGTCTCAAGAGGATGCGCTTCACTCGCTCTCCTCCCTCGAAGGGCCCATGCTCTCCACTTCCGCTCCCAGGACTGCTTCCCGGAGTGGTCGCTCCTTTGGGTCCCGAGGAACCCAGGTGCAGGATCGGAGGTGGCAAGCCTGGAGGCCGGAAAGGTGGCCCGGACCCGCCCTCGCGGCGCAGGAAGCCAACTCCGCCTCCAGGTCGCGCCGATCCCGAACGCCGGCGCCCGGCGGCCAGCGGGCCCTGACAGTCACAGTGCGCACGCGCCCTCCGGGCCGGGCTGGCGTCACTTGCGTCCGCCTTACGCACGCCTGCGGCGCTCGCAGCGCCGGAACATCGCCTTCCAAGCTTTGGCTTCTCTACCGGGTACTGAAGTAGGAAGTGTCAGGTTCCCTTCCCCGGATCCCACCCGACCCTACTCACCCAAATCCCCGGTCGCTGTGGCAACGGAAGCTTCGCGCGCCGACTTAGTCCTTTGGCCCCGCCCCTGAAGGATAGAGGGGTGGGATGGGGCGGGGCAGGCCTGACCAGGCCACTCTGGCTCCGCCCACCCGGCTGCCGGACCAGAGTTTTTAGCCTTAAGGAGCTAGGTGTTCCTAGCGCAGGTGGGGTTAAAAGTGGAGTTCAACAGACGTGAAAAGCCGTACTGGGAAACTGCGAGATAGTAGTGTAATTATGTGTGTGTTCGTGCGTATGTGTGTGTGTGTGAATGTGGACTTCCAAAAGTTCTTGGGAAAATGTAAATAAAATAGAAGTTTATTTTTGTGCAAAAATTTAAAATCAATGCATAGTTCTTTATTTTTTTGCTCTTTTTTTTTTTTTTGGAGAGGTTTTTGCTATAGGGTGCCTGCGCTCGCCAGACAGAGAGAGACAGAGAGACAGAAAGCGAGAAATCACCCTCCAGAGGGGATGGCCAGGCCACAATCCCTTCTCCTCCATTCTCCTCTCGGAGTCTTGGAAACGCATGCCCACGCACCCGGTGTGTTTAAGCCACCGGGTCCAGGACTCGAACCAGGGTCAACTATATGGGAGTCCAGCGACACAGCCATTACGCTAACTGCTGGTCCCAGTTGTTCTTTTTATAATGCCCATTCCCTATGAACTTTCTGAAAACTGTTTGTGTGTTCCTGTGTGTGTCTGTGTGTGGGTGTTCAAACCTATAGAAAAAGACAATCTCATATGGATATTCAACCAAGCAACCCAAAAAGAAAAAAAAAAAGGAAATAGCCAATAAGGATATACAACGTTGTTTGCTTTTTATTAAAAAAAAAAAATGGAAATGAGACCAATACATTTTCTTTTTACCCAGTTTAGCAAAGATGGTAAAGATTACTAATGGCACTGTTGGTGAGAATATGGGGAAGCAGGTTTATATATGTGGGAGGAAGTAAAAAAATGAGTATAAACCTTATAGAAGCTAAACTTTACAATAGGCGTTCACTTTAATCCAGCAGATCCATTTCCTAGCAATTTGTGTTAGGAAATAACACTTTTGACAAAATGTTCAACACCTTAATAACAATAACAACAAGTCGTCCAGGGTTCACGTCCCGGACCCGGTGGCTTAAAACTCACACCAGGCGCGTGTGCGTGCGTGCCCTAGATCCAGAGAGGAGAATGGAGGAGAAGGGATTGCGGTATGGCCATCCCCCCTGGGGGTCGATTTCTTGCTTTCAGGCCAGCAAGTGGTGTGGTAGTTAAGGTGCTGGAATTCCCACATGGTTGACCACAGTACCAGTCCCGGACCTGGCGGCTTTTCTCTCTCTCTCTTTCTCTCTGTCTTTCTCTGACAAAACTCATGTGAAAATAATAATAAAGTTAAATAAATTAAAAAAAAGAAATGCTTAAAAAAATAATAACAACAACAAAAAATAGAACCACTCTAAATGTCTACTTTCAGGGAATTATTTTAGTTACTGATGGTACCTATATATAATATTATACATAGGTACATCATATATATGTATTATATATAGCCATTAATAGTCTACAAATGTCAGCAGCATTGGATGAAAGTCAGAAAATATAGAACTATATGTAGTTTGAACCATTTATGTAAACAAATATAAATATACAGCTATAATAAATGCATTTTGTTATGCATATTCCGGGATGTGTACTAACGGAGAAAGTATTATCTTTTCAAATAGTACAAAGTTATTTGGATATTCATATAGAAAAGGGGAAAAAAAACTACCTGTTCGCTTTCTTTACATCATAAACAAAACTATATCTCACTTGGATTGCCGTCTGTATGTTAAAAGTCAAACGATAACATCTGTAACTTTGAAGATGGCAAAGGTTTATAACAAGAAACAAACAAACAACAACAAAAAAAAACACACACTATACCCAGCAAGATTATCTTTCATACGTGGAAAAAAAAAAAAAAAAAAAAACATTCTCAGATAAACAAAACCTGAAAGAATTTACCAACACCATATCAGCTCTCCAAAAAGTGCTGAAGAGAGTGCTATACCCGGAAAACTAAAGTCGGACACAGGTACAAGAAACAACCAAGAGAATGGCCAGCCTAATGGTAGGGACAAGTCTGGAGTTGAATGTTAACTTCCAGAGTTTAAATGGAAAGATCAGACCACAGGAAACACTGCAAATTATAGAAAGATTAATTAATTAATTAATTAATTAATTAAATGTCTGCTGAATGTTCCAAAGTTCTCTTGAGCTCCTTCTCAGTCAATTTTAACCCTCCAGAAATAACTACTGATCTATTTTCTATCACCATCATTTAGTTCTGCATACTCGAATTTCATGTAAATTCAATCATGATATCATTTTGTTTCCAGCCTGAGTCCGAATTAGTGAAATAAAATATTTTTACTTTAGACTAAAACATTACTGATTTTCTTCGATGCTTTGATTTCCATGTTTAAGGATTTTTGTCTTCTCTTGAACTGTTAATTGATTCATCTACCTACTATTTGAACAGAATTCAAACCTTTTTCCTGGCTTTAAGTTTTAAGGAAATTTTTCTTTACATTTTTTTACTTCGCTCTATTAAAGCGTCTTTTCATTAAGAAATGCATTAAAATACTTACTAATACCTATTTAATGACTACAGTAAGCTATCTAGCCCCACAGAGGTGCTACATTATAGTCTGTTCACTTTACTCACTGAGGTTTACACCTAAAGTCAGACAGGCATTCTTAAGTATGTATACATCAGCTGTGCTTGATATTGAAAGTCTTTAAATTAATTAAGATCTCTAGTGAATCAATAAAATATAAAAAAATTTTTAAAGAAAAAACACCAATCATAAATGAAAAATGTACAAATTGAACCATATTAAAATTAAGATGGGGTGTGGCATTGGCAGGTGGCATGGTGATTAAGGTGCTGGACTTCCACATGAGTCCCAGACATGACAGCTTGCTTTTTCATTTTCCCTCTTTCTCTTCCTCTCTGGTCAAGTTAAAAAAAAAGTAATAATTAATTAAATTAAATTAAATAAGTGTTTTAAGAATTAAGACTTTATCAAAAAACATTGTGAGTGAAAAGGCAACCTACGGAGTGGGAGAAAATTACTCAACTTCATTAGTCTTTGGAGGAATACAAACTAAAACCACAATGTCATTACACACCCACCAGAATGACTAAAATGAAAAAGACTGAAAACAAAGTGTTGGAGAAGATGAGGAGCACCCACAGAAAAAAATATATGGAAGAAAATTATTTTCCAAACTCACCAGTTGGTCGCCTTTTCTTTTTTTCTTTTTTTTTTTTGCATTTAATTTTTTAGGTGTACATAAATAAAATGTACATACATACAATAAAATCTTCAGATCTTAAGTTGTCAGTATTCTATTCAAACATTTATGACAAATGTCTGCTGAATGTTCCAAAGTTCTCTTGAGCTCCTTCTCAGTCAATTTTAACCCTCCAGAAATAACTACTGATCTATTTTCTATCACCATCATTTAGTTCTGCATACTCGAAGTTCATGTAAATTCAGTCGTGATATCATTTTGTTTCCAGCCCCTTTCAAATTCGTGTAATTTAAAAAATACTTATCCACTTCATTTTATGTGTCTGTAATTTCTTCTTATTGCTAAGTAGTATACCATTGTATGGATGGACTCCATTCTCCTGTTGATGGACATGTGAATTGCTTCCAGTTTGGAGCTATTACAAATAAACCTGCTACAAACATTCTACTACAAAACATTTTTATAAGCATGTGTTTTTTTTACTCTTAGGTATATGAACTAGGCATGGAGAGTCTGAGTCACTGAATAAATGGGGTTTTGCTCAACCTTGGCAATATAGAAACTTTGAGCATCACTGGAGTAGCTGTGTAACTTTGTAAGAATCTCCCAACAATTTTCCAAAGTGGTTGCAACATTCTCCATCTCTACCCACAATACATTAAAATTCTGCTTGCTTCATATTTTTGCCAACTTTGGCTATTGTAAATCTTTTTCATTTTTAGCCACTAGTGGAAATTGGTTGCTTTTTAAATATGATTCTTGATAAATATTAACAAAAAGTGTAAAAACATGCATGTTGTTCTTCCGTGGGACTAGGTGAAGAATATATGATCTCTTAAACAAAATTTCTATGTTCCCTGAGGTTTATAAATCTATTAGAAATATTCCAAACAACAAAGTTTTTAGTGAGTCAGCCCTGACTAAAATAATCATAACATTGGCTAACATTTATTGACTGTATAATATGTTCAAAGAACTTAGCAGCTTTAAAAAAAAATCTTTCCAACAACTTTATGAAGTATCTAATTTATTGTTCCCATTTTTATAAACAGAGAAATTAATAATCAAGGTGATTAAGAAAGTTGCTGAAGGGCATGTAATCAGTGAGCAGCGGAGTCAGGGTTTGGACTTAGGTCTGCCTGAGTCCAATGCTAACTTGTCATGAAGATAATTTTTTTTTTTAATTTTGCCATAGGACACGTGTACTCACCAAAGAGAGACACAGAGACAGGGAAAGTGAGAAATCACCCCACAAGAGAGATAGCAATGCTGCAATCCTTTCTTTTCCATTCTCCTCTTGAAATTTAAGGGTCACTGGAATTTGGAGTTTCAAGCCTCTGGTTCTCAGATTCAAACTGCAGAGTTGGTCATGTGGGATCCAGTGCCTTTACCACCATACCATCTGCTGGGCCACCTCCAATATTGTTTTAAAATGAGGGAAGA